GGGACACCCTGAACTGGTTGCCAGCCAATCGCAGGGCACACACAGACGAACAACCATCCGCACTCACACCTAGGAACAATTTAGAGCATTCAATCAGCCTGCCATGCATGTTTTTGTAATGTGGGAGGAAACCGGATTACCCGCAGAAAACCCATGTAGGCCTGGGAAGAACATGCATACCCCACACAGGGAGGCCAGAGCTGGAATTGAACCCGGTAACTCTGCACTGTAAATTCGACGTGGTAACCACTGGACTACCGATCCAGTCCTAAAAAACAAACAAACAATCAAACACAATAAAAAATAAGGAAAATTTCTGCAAAAATATTGAATGGCCAGTCCGTAACCTGCATTTGAGAAGGCCTGCGTGTGTGTATATATATATATATATATATATATATAGTAACGATGATGTTTGTGCCATGAGACTTTCCTAAGGTAAAAGTGCATTAGCTCAATAATAGTTGAATCAGCAAGAAGAACAATTTGTGACCAAAGACCGCTGCTAGAGGTTACCTGACAGCGGTTGACCGTTAATACTCCAGGTTATATTGGGCGTCGGGATGCCTTCAGCGAGACAGTCCAGTCGCACGGTTTCACCTGGAGCGTAACGAAGGTTCTGGAGCTCCTTCACCCAGTAGGGAGCCGCTTTACAGGGAAAAAAAACAAGGGCGTCGTTTTAGTACATATAATATATTTAGTACATATAATATATTTAGTACATATAATATATTTAGTATATATATATATATATGTGTGTATAAATAACTGGGAAACGTATTAAAAAGATGAGTCTCTTTTTTGAGGCAATATGAAGTGAGTGCAATTCAGTTTGCCGCTCAAATCAAATAGTCCGAATGATGGCTCATATATTGCAGAACTCATAAGTCATATCTGAGGTCTTATTTGAAAGCACCACTGTAATTAATGCCAAAGATATAAACTGAAGTGATACATCTCTGTACTGTTTAAGATCTGCGTATGTCAGTGAGGAGCTCAGTTTAGCCTGGGTCGTTAATGGAAGCTATGGGGAGTTTGTTGTTGTACGTTTTGCTATGCTTTGTTGAATTGATTTTTTTAGTCTAATGTAAGATGAGTTAAATTGAGTTATTCTGTATTTTGGGTTTTATGCTTAATTTATATTTTAGCAATTTTAACCCTTTATTCAGAGGTGCATATCAACCCACTGACCTTCAACAGTGACAGTGAAGGAGTGCACACTAGACCCATGCACGTTGGACGCTCTGCACTCGTACTCGCCATCGTCGCGCTGGTCGACACTGTCAAAGTAAAGCCAGCGGTTGTGGTTTTCCGGATGCCCGCCAGTCTCATCCAGTTTGCCGTCCTTCTTCTTCCACTCCACCTTTGGAGTCGGACTGAGAAAAAGGAAAAAAAGAAGGTGCTTGGCTGGTTGCATGCGATTAAAACAGGAAGTTGAGTGAAAACAGATCCTTACAGGCCTTTGGGAATGCATTCTAAGGTCAGACTTTGGCCGCGGAGTGCTAGCACCGACGAGTGGGAACTGCTTGGGTGGAAGATTTGAGCCGGCTTGCCATGAGCCACGTCGTTACCTGGACAAAAGATGGTGCTAAACAATCACATCAATGATGGCCAATCAATCCACACATCCAACACTAACGAGCCCGTTGGTCACTCAGTCATGTTTTATTACTCGTAAAGATGAAGTGATCATGGTGGTGTACATGGTTACTAAACAATATGTACATGGTACCGGGTGTGTGATGACTAAAATATTACAATACGCAGCATGCCAATATCAATATTTGTTACTGTCCCTAATTAATGTTATACGGAAAGAGATAATGATACAATCCTTGACAGTACTTAAGTTGTCCCATAATTAACTGATGCTGCATGGTAAAAGATGATACGGTGTTCGCTGAGGTCAAAATTTTGTTCCACCACTAATCTATGAAACATTCAGGTACAGTCCATGATCGTATTGATATTGTGTCCCACCCCTAACTGATGCTGTATGTTTCATGCCAATATCAATGTGGTAAAATATAACGATATGGTGCAAACCAATATCAATATTTTGTCCCACCCCAAACTGACTCTGTACGGCAATGTTACATTGCCCTACTGATATTTTATCTCACCCGTAACTGATATCGAAAGAAAAATTTTCATGCAGCGGTATCAATATTTTATTTATTTATCCCCAAAGTGACACTATAAGGTAGGAGATGATGACACTAAGTATGCGTAAATTACATCGTTTCTAATTGACGCACATTATCAGATAGCGATACAGTGCATGCCGGCCTCATACTGTATTGTATCTAGTGTGTGTGTGTGTGTGTGTGTGTGTGTGTGTGTGTGTGCGCGCGCGCGCACTCACTCGGCAGCACAGTGAGAGCAATGGCGGTATCAGGCAAGATGGTTCTGGCTTCAATGTAGTGGGAGTTGCAGAAGTAATCCTCTCGGCTGTCGCTCTTGAGCAGATTAGCAAAGTACAAGTTGCCGTTGAGGCCGACCATCACTCTGTCACTCTGCCTGATGTGCACCAGCTCTGTGACAAGTAAACACATACAGGACACTCACAAGGAGTCCACACCAAAATGACATTCAACTCATGGCCCTTTTGCGCTCTTTCTAAACCTAGCTTCTAAACCTCAATTCCCTTCTTCCCCTTGACTAACCATTAACCCTTAATGCCAAACCCGAACAACTTTTACCATACTCCGAACGACAAACTCTGGGTATCATAAAACTGATAATTTTCTGCCAGGTTGCAACAAATTGAGAGTTAATAGAAATTAGCGGCAGAGTGATTTCAAAGTGACAACCACAATCGATGTTGTTGGATTTGCACAGTGAAAAGAGAACAAAATTATTAACATGGTGTCCCAGTTTCTCGGGCTTTGGAACACAAGACAGTTGTACATTTAGCGTACATGTTAAAGAAGGCACAGTGTCGGACGGAGATCTCTGCTACTTTGAATAAAGCAGGTTGGTTGAAAGGGGTAGAAATGTCTGATGCATTTTATAACATTTTTCATAGAAAATTTAGCATCGTCAGTGCTTCACTTATAGCACGTCTTCTGCTCCTTATTACAGTGATCCCTCGCCCAATTTGCACTTCAAGTTTTGCGGCTTCAGTGTTTCACATTGTTTTGTTTTTTTTTGTTTAAAAAAATACAACCTTAACGGCAGCCATATTGTAGAAAGACGCTTTATCTCATGTTGATGCTTGAGAGAATAGGTTTCTCTGCATGCCGAACAAAAAGCTGACGTGACTTAGAGACTTTGTGCATACCTGTTCTATACTGGCCTGATTTTGATCTTTTCTTAATTTTATGATGATTAAAAACACAGAATCAACATTTCAAAACTCACTCTTATCCATCCAGTGGATTTGCGGAGGGGCGGAGCTCGGCGGGGGGTTGCAGGTCAACACCATGCTCTCACCCACATAAGCTTCGCGGCGGAGCTTCTGCTGCTTCAGCAGAACTGGCTGGGCTGCAACACACACGCACGCATGCACGCACACACGCACACATGCACACACGCGCACACACACACGCACACACACACACACACACACACACACACACACACACACACACACTGACATCACTGCTCTGGTTCCTGGAAATGGTTACCTTAGCAACAAGAGATGAGCGTGCAGAAAAGGTGGCCCCAGTCAACCTCACTGAGTCATTCAAGTGTGTGTGTGTGTGTGTGTGTGTGTGTGTGTGTGTGTGTGTGTGTGTGTGTGTGTGCATGCGTGCATGCGTGCGTGTTACGGTATACCCGATCAATCATCAGTCATGTGACTTCTTTGAAGCTTGAATAATATATCTACAGTATAATGAACCCATAGATATTGTATACTGAAGGGAGGCAAGCTGGTTGGTAAGTAGCTAGCTTGGTTATGTAAATAGGTACTTGTGCATACTTTGTAGGTAGGTACTGTAGGTAGATAGCTAGGTAGGTGGGTAGGTCAGTTAGGTGGGTAGATCAGACAAGGAGGTAGGTAGTTCGGTGGACGGTTTGGTGGTTAGGTAGGTAGGTTGGTATTTGTGGGTCATATAAAGAAGGACGGAGATAGGTAGGTAGGTCAGTAGCTAAGTAGGTGGCTGGCTGGTGGTAGGTAGGCTAGTCAATGAGATAGGTAGGCAGGTTGGTATACCAATTAGGCAGTCGGTAGGTAGGTAGGTGGGTGGGTTGATGGGTAGGCTTTTAGGTTGGATAGGTAGGTAGGTTTGGTTTTTAGGATAGGAGGGTAGATAGGTAGGAAGATTGGTAGTGTCTCACCCTCTACATTGATGTGCACTTTGTGCGTCATGGCAGTCCCTAGCGTGTTGGAGGCATAACATCGGAATGTTCCCTGGTACAATTCCAGAGCTTCATCTTCGCTGACCTCTAGCGTTCCACTTCCCGTCCTCTCCGACCCGAATGTTCGGCCATCTTTCACCCAACGGAAACTAGCAAAGGATAAAGAAGAGAAATGATCTCATTAGTGATCTCATTTAATTAAATGAGCTGTTGTTGCTGTAGTAACAGAAAGTAACGGAAACAAATAGCTCAATGTAAGATTCATATCCTGGTGTTTGTCACTGTGTTTAATATGATATGAAACTTCAAAAAAAGAACCCTGACACTAATTTGACTAAGCAATGAATTTGAATGAAATTGGGTGGAAATGTTTATCATAACAGGGCACATGCCAAATTTAATGATGGGATAAATAAACATGAAGATGCATTAATAGTCGTAATTCATATGAAAAAATAAGGACCATAAGGTGAAGATGGATTCTTCCAGAATTCAAACATTTGAACCTAATGAGGACAATCAGTACAGATGGATAAATGATGGATGAATATTTAACATGCAACATTACAGTCAACAAGAGACATACGTGGGCGGCGGGTTGCCGGAAGCCTCGCACGGCAGAATGATGTCATCACGATAAAAGGCCGTGTATGATGTCATCACCTCGAAAGGCTGCGTGAGCACAGGTGGCTGCGAAACTGAAAACAGATGAGCACGCACACACGCGTTAATCCCACAAAGACATGACATGATTTCACACCTTGCACATTTTAAAGTGCTCACTGCTGAAATAAAAATCAAACGTTCCACATCACCATGGCAACGGGAGAGTCACTTACGGTTGTTTGCTTTGTCTGTTTGTCCACACGGAAGCCAGAAAAGGTAAGAAGGCAAACATTTAGAAAATCCAAAGTAGAAAAGAAAGATAACGTGATAGTGGTATTTTGTAACTGTTGCTGTATGGTTCGACAAAAGGCACGACACAAATCGCAATTTATTTTGAAACATTTATGGCGATGAGATAGGGTCATGCCACCCTTAATTGACAGTGAAAGTAATGAAGAACTGTTTGCTACATTCATTGCAAAATCAATATTTTATAGCAGGCCTAATTGAGACTAGAAAAGGCGAGGTGATGTGATTTCCTAATTGCGATACCAGTAATCATATTTTGTTACACTTCTAATTGATACTATCTTGTTGTAGACAACAATAAATCCATCCAGCCACTCATTTTCTGATTACAACGGTCGCGGCCATGCTGGAGCCTCTCCCAGCTGTCTTTGGGCAGTAGGTGGGGTACACCCTGAACCCTTTGTCAGCCAATGGCAGGGCACACAGACAAAAAAAACCCATTCACACTCACAATCACACCTCAGAAAAATTTGGAGTGTTCCATTGACCTGACATGCATGTTTTTGGAATGCGGGAGGAAACTGGACCACCCGGAGAAAAGCCACACAGGCATGGGGAGAACATGCAAACTCCACACAGGAAGGCCAGAGCTAACCAGTTGACCAACATGCCACCACAACAATACATATCAATATCAATATTTTGGCGTGAGTTTTTTTGATTCCATAATACAAGAGACAATGTGATATGTTCATTACGATAACAATATTTGTCCACTATCATCACATATCACGATACACTTCATTTGTTTGCAGTTGCCAAATATCCAGCCTTGATACTGCTTTACAATACGATACAAACAATTTGTGCATTGAGAAATATATATTTTTTAATACTATGCTTTATCTGGTACTGTATCACTATATTTGAAATCATCATGATGTTGCGATACTCACAGCCTTGTGGGATGATGAGGGCTCCCTGAGCCAGCGGAAGTGTGGATGGCGAGAGGAAGGTCAAAGGGAAGAGGACGAACGGGAAGATGGGCACGGGGAGGGCCATTGGCACACTCATGTCTCAATGTCCCATTGACGCGCACACATTCATCAAGGCACACGCACACACACACACACACACACACACACACACACACACATGCACACACACACACTCTTTCGCCTGGAACCCTCCTGTCGAGGCAATGGCGTCACGGCGAGACTTAAGGTGGTGCTTTGGCGGTCTCGCTTTCTGGTACTGTGAGGCAGAGGAAAGAAGAAAAAGTGGGGAGACAACAAGGGAAAGATGGTTTCGGGGGGACGGGAAGTGGAGAGAAGGGTGAGAAAGGCCATTGAAGTGAATCAGATGATCATCACACACTGTCATGATTTTTTTAAGTCTCTCATATCCAATGCCCAATATCTCCCAAAAACCTCCAACGTTTTCTAAAAATGTTATATTAAATTGACGTCAACTTCAGGACACAAAATGTCCAAAATGGCGACCAGCTTCCAATATTCAACACTTTTTGCTGGGACAGAATAAATGATCCCAAAACTCACCAAAAAGGTAAAAGACGCCTCATTTTTTTGGAATAATATGATGAATATGTAATTTGTCGAATAAATAAAAAATATCAAAAATCACGTCAGTTTACCCCGCAAATTAATGCTTTCATAAAACATCTAGACATCGAAGCGTCTAAATATTGACTTAATCCCTTTTGGAGGGGTAAAAATAGCTAGTCAATGTGAACATGAAAATCCCAACTTGAATGAGACATCCCTCTCGCCTTTAAATGGAAATGTGCGTCTTTTGTGCATGTTGACTTGAAGTGCAGGATGAGATGAACACTCAACGTGCAAATCCATTTTGGAAAAATCCTCTCTGCACTTTGCTAAAAATAGAAGGCAGGCGATTCAAAGTGGCCTCTGGGTCCATTCATGGAAATCCAGTCAAACAGAGATGATCCTGCTGGTAAACATTCTTCTTCCAATGGAAGTTTCCTGCAAGGTTTATTGCCTGGTTTGGAAGTCAACGCTCCATTCCAGACTGCTGAGAGGTTTCAAATATTCCACTAGGATGGTCTAACCTTACAGGGCAGAAATTTTGTAAAACTCATGTCTTATTGTCCTGCAAAGCCTGCGCACCCTTCAAGTGTGAATTTTTCAAAAAAATTAAGGAGATGTTTTGTGCTTATTTCACAAAATCTGTGATGTCACAGTTTGACTAACTCCCGTTTTGCTGATGACGATTTGAGAAGCTAGACTGGATGGAGAGCCACCGACAACATTCGACTGAAATTGTTTCAAAGCAAAAGGTATGCAGAGCTGCAGTGTCAGAACAGATCAGTGTTAGCTAGCATGGCTGTAATATTAGCAACTTACTTGTTGTGATGCCCTCGCACATGGCAAAGGAAAGCTACAGTCGCTGTTGCAATTTTAATGAACACATATCGAGCACCCTCGTTCAGGAGCTGTTGTTGATAAACTCAAGGCCCGGGGGCTAGATCTGGCCCACCACGTCATTTTATGTGGCCCGCAAAAGCAAATCAAGCAGGTCAACTTCCATGAAGCTTGCTAAAATCTGTACCAAAATGTCAAATTGTCAGAGGTAATAAATAATCATGCTGTGATATTGCAAGCATTTTCTTTTCATGTGATTGCAGTAAATTGAACAGCAATTGAACAAACTATGATCCTTGACTTTTGATTTAAAAATGTGTTATCTATTAATTGTGTGCTGTATATGTATTAATACGTGGGGGTGATTAAACATTTATACGGTTTCACAGTCATTGTGGCCCTCACAGGGAAACTGTGACTACCATGTGGCCCGCGACAAAAATGAGCTTGACACCCCTGGCATAGAGTATTTTCTTCGTGTTCAAATACATTTCAAAGTGTTCTCAAGGTATATTTCATTAAGTTGAAATGTTTTTAAAATTTTTTGAAGAGATGAAACTGTGTTTTTATATATATATACATATATATATATATATATATATATATATATATATGTATATATATATATTTTAATTTTTCAAAATTATGTGCTCTCTCTATACCTGCGGTGGGTCATTCTGGAACAGAGGCTCACTGTATAAATACGGTCCTTAATCATAATTTTTCTAGTTACCCGGTGCAATCCATTGCTTTTTTTTCTGGAGTTCTCAATTATCCCTGTCGTAGAGAACAATGAAAGACAGATGGGGCGGGAGCATTTTTGTCCTTGAAAATGATTGCGTTGTCGCTGTTTCTAGTCAAGGTAATGAAGCAGATGCTTTCCTCTCAAAATGCTTGAACCCCCGCGGCGGAGGCCATCTCGGCTAATGTTAAATATACTGAGCCCCGGGCCCTCGACCCTGTCGGTGTTCTGGGACGTCCCGCAGAAGCGGAGGGGCGGGTCGCTGGGAGGCCGGAGGAGAGAAGGCAGGGTGAGTGCAGGTGGGACAGTCTAATCGGGAAAGGGGGGCTGTGTTTGAGAACACGTGCGTGTGTGTGTGTGTGTGTGTGTGTGTGTGTGTGTGTGTGTGTGTGTGTGTGTGTGTGTGTGTGTAAAATGGGGCTCAGGGGGACCTTATGGTCCAAGAGTTAAAATGGGGGTGCAGGTGGACAAATAGTGCTTGACGGAGCGAGAAATTAACTCATTGATAGATTCCGATCTGCGGAGAGAGATTAGGGGACTGGAGATACACGCGCGCACACAAAAGCAAAAAAAAATGTCAGCGGCAAACAACAGTCGCTGCACAAAAGAATAAAATGTCATATTTTATATCTCTATCTATCTATTTATCGATAGATTTGTTTTACAACCACTGCTTAGGTGGAATGTCACTTTTTTCACCTAACCTAGTCGAACTAAAAGAAAAAAAAGGATAGAATAAAAACAGTGCATCATAAAGCAAACACAAATGTGTTAAATATGAAACACATTCAACTCTTGGTCAGACAAGACACATATGACATGGATCGATGTGCTCACTTGCACCTTCTGGGAACTGAAAAGGAAAGTTATTTTTTTGAACAATATATTTACAGTTGACCCCCACTATTCACAGGGGATAGGGACCAGGCCGGCCCGCAAATAGAAAAAAAATCTGTCTGCAATTGTCGCCTGCTGAATTGTGCGTAATGATGGTGTAGTGTAATTTATGCATGATATATTTCTTAAATTAATCAGCCAGCTGTATTTTTTTTTCCTGAATGGGTAACGGCCTAAAAAAAAAATCCACATTGGTCGGGCCCCAGAAGTGTGCCAAACCATTTGATTTGCTGTTTTAGCGATACCATAATGAGTTTATAGAACTAGAAGCTCACATAGAGCTAAACTATTCATAAAAATGAAAAGAAATGAAGTTGGCATTAGTTTTGGGGTTTTTTTTCGTCCCAACATTCACCGATTATGAACAGATGGGAGATGCCATAATGACTCTGGAAGGGGGACGGGTTGCACTGACGTCGGAGTAACTCCAACTATAAAAAATATTCCTGTAATTGTGTTTTTATCCAGATTAACAATGTTCTCCTTCTTTCATGCACCCACCCCCAAAAGTTTGCTTTAGTTCTTTATCATGCTAACCATATCTGTACACTTTATTGATTTTATTTTAATAAAGATAATGGCTCAAGACTTTTGCAATGTACAGTGTGCTGTACAATAAGGTAAACTGTTCTCAAATAAACACCAACAACGCTAAAATGAGCATGGTGAGCAAAGTGAGTTCAAGTGTGTGTGTGTTGTTTGTGTGTGTGTGTGTGTGTGTGTGTGTGTGTGTGTGTGTGTGTGTGTGTGTGTGTGTGTGTGTGTGTGTGTGTGATAAACTGCTGATGTTGTCCACACTAGACCTCATGAATATGAAACACAAGTGTCATTTTAATGAAGCACCTCTGAGATTAACATGTCTGCCCAAAGGTTTGTGAGCGTGTGTGTGTGTGTGTGTGTGTGTGTGTGTGTGTGTGTGTGTGTGTGTGTGTGTGTGTGTGTGTGTGTGTGTGCATTTATGATATTTATGATGCTAATTATTAAAAGCAGGCAAATTTTAAACAAAAGTTTGTTGACTAAATTTAGAAACGTATTTTTTTCATAAACATCTATTTTTATCCTATTATGTATACACACACGATATTTACTTAAATATGGTATAAATCAAAACATTTCAAATTGAGGTTTCAACCCAGGTATGGGTTTTCACATTTGGACTTCCAATTAGTCTTTAAAATCTGGATTATGGCCGACTGATCTGATCTGAAGATGGGCCAATCAATCCAACCTATTGAAACCAGTTAGTCATTAATGAGGGCATTTACCAATCTGCAATTTATGACATTACAACTAATCACTGATTTTGCACAAAATACAAAAAAATTGCCGATCAAGCCTACTTTACACACGACACTTTAGCTAATCAACATTTGACCCAGGCCCATTTTTTTCAAGGTACACACATTCTCGGTTGCAGATACTACAGTGTAGAATGAGAGCATGATGACCCCAAGAGGACAAAAATAGTATTTGCACCTCACATGCACGTGTTATTTAAATGCACAGCTTGAAACAATATGAAAATATATATTTTCTGGATATAGATATGGGCATTTTTTTCTGAGCTTGGCAACATCTCTGAGCATTCACACTCATTTTGTGAGAGTAGTTAATGTGAAGATGCTCTTCCACTTCAAGCAACTGCCCCCCCCCCCCAGCACGCCCCCGAGCCCTTGCACTTCTCAGCACGACAAATGAAGCAGTGCACAAGTCAGTCATTAGTGACACAATGTGGCTACATAAACAATTGCAGAGTGGACCAGGGTCTATTAGCCTCAGCCCCGGCAGGGGGGATGTGGCTGGGCGGGCGGGCCGCAATGGCAGCAGCTGGAGCCCTGTGGGCAGGGTCAAACAAGACATATTTTCATGTTTTCGAGATGTTTTCATTTTGATACGTGACATCACGCAACTGTCACAAGGTGACGTTGCCGTGACAACCATCAATGTATACTGAACCAATGGCATTAACGCACCGCTGACCAGCACATTGCCCATACCGATTGATATTGAGATTTAGCCAGCGAGGATTCCGTGTCGTCTTGTTAACAGCAAGGTACCATCTGCATCAAAATATTGATCACTCCCTTTTTGTTTCTGTTTTTGATAACTTTGAGTATTACAGTGGTTTTAGTTTTAGTAAGGTGAGGGTTTTCTAATTCTGGTTTCGAGCAAGGGCTAGGAGTTCAAATTAGGGTTTGAAACAGTTTTTTTCG